CAACATCCACCACTACACAACTATTCAACTCACCTCCCATGACACATACGACCAAGCCTGGATCCAAGAGCACCACTACATCGCCAACTGGATGCCTTCACTCAACTGGCCTTTCATTTCCCACCACCTCAAACTCAAAGCTCAGGGATGGCAGTTTGCAAAACACAGAGCCCACTTCTACTCCAGACTAGCCACCCACAAACGACTTTTCCGACGCCTTCGACAACGCCAGTACACCCTCAGAGAACCACACCTCTACACTTCCACTAAGCATCACGCCCTCCAACTTCTTCGCAACCTTACCAAACACACCGCAGCCTCTTTTGAGGCAGCAAAACAGATAAGAAGCGGCCGCCACACGGACCTCGAGGTGTATGCAATCCGGCGTATGGCCGCAAATTTGGAAGAACCTGGCCGCAGCCGAGCTCTTCACATCCTCAACAAAGCCTTGATCTACCGCAACCTCACGTCTCACCCCGCCACTTTCACACAGGCAGGGGGGCAGTGGTCCTTTCAGCAGTCACTGCCTAACAAAGACACTGCTGATCGGATGTGATATGACTCTGGGACGCCAGAGTCACGTACCTGCCAAATGAACTTTTGAATAAGCTGTCCAATTTGATCGGTTTGTTTCCACGGTCCTTCATGTTTCCTCCCCCAAACCTCACGGAGTTTTTTGCAGCTTAAGCTTTGCAGCCGACTCGCAGCGCGCCGTTCTTTTTCTGCAGACTGAAACAACTTTTTTGAAACACCTACAAGTTTCCGGACCTTTCCACCTTGCCGTTCCATCGCCTTTTTCCCATTGAGACAATTGCGTTAACTGAAACTCCAAGTTCGAAGTGTGTGCCCCACTCCGTCTCCAGGAGTTTAGTTCCCTTTTTAACCCACAAGCAGGGGGCCAGGGAGTGGAAGCTAGTGATGTCACGGGAAGCACTCAGAGACGTCTGACTGTGTACCTGCTGACGGAATTTTTGCACACGCTGTGACTCCATTTCTCCACTTTTTGATTCCATAGTGGTTTTCCGTGATGCTCCCCACAAACAGGGTTCCCACTGCCTTGCAAGTGCCTGCCGCCGCCGCATTCTGCAGTCACGAGTCACGCGAAACATTTTTCCAACCGATACAAGTGAGCTGACCCTGTCGCCGTGCGGTTCCCTCATTCCTTTGCTTGTGGAGTCTGGCATTGAATGAGCCTTTGTCTAAGTGTGACTCGCTGCGCTTTCCCAACCTGGGCGCGCAGTGTGATCCCCGTCACAGGTGCCCCGAAGCCATGTGGATTATGATCCGATTTCTCGTCCTTGCATTCTGGGATTATGGTTTTGACTGATTTTTTGTCTCACCCATGAATCAACCGACGCCAAAGCTGCCGAGCTGACGGATACTCAAGCTGCCGAGTTTACTGTTCAAGAGCGGATACCTTCACTTTCGATTTTCATGTTCCGTGTGTCACGTTGTACTTTCCAATTCAATTCAAACTTTTCGCAGTGATCGTGATCACTCATTCCGTGCGGTGCACCCCCACCCCTCCCCTCTTTCCTTCTTACAGCTTCTTCGATGGATTTTTCTTCAGGCTTGTTACTGTTAGGTGGTTCTTGAGGCTCGTTTCCTTGCCCCTGGGTTTCGCATTTTTTGCTACACCTATCTTCTCTCTTGCCCTCTTCGTTTTTTCTCTTTCTGTCTTTCCTTCCTGTCGCTTGTTAGGCGACTACTCAAGTTTTGTCTCCATAGTTTCCCGTTCGTTCGGCAGACACGCATTGCCTTACACCTATTTGTCTTTTTTCCCCTTTTCGTCTTGCTCCTTCTGTCTTTCTTTCTTTCTTTCTTTCTTTTCTAAGGCTTGTTAGGTGGCTATTCAGGTGTTAACTCCGTAATTTTCCGTTCGTTCGGCAGACATGCATGCCCCTACACCTATCTTTCTTTCTTGCCCTTTTCTTTTGCTTTTTATTTTTCCTTTTCTTTTTCTAAGGCTTGTTAGGTGACTATTCAAGTCTGCGCCAGAGCGAGCGCCGCTATGTCATCTCACTCCTTTCCTTCTTTTGCGCGCACATCAGTCCGGCCCTTAGCACGCACGCGCACATGTACCCGTAATCAGGTTTCAGGCCGCCCAGGGCTTGATAAGGAGGTCTGGCTCATTGTGCACTTGGTTTCCCCTTCCTTGCCACCACACACATACTTGTCTTGTCTTGTCACGTCTCCTTTTCATGTCTTCGTCTTTTTGTCCTGCCTTGCGCGCGCACATGTACCCTTAGCTTTCACGCCCCCCTTGCGGGGGGCGTGTGTGCGTGAAGCCCTTGGAGTCACAGGGAAACCGTTGGTTTTGTTTCTAGCAGGGGCTTGAAGTCGCCGCTCAACGAAGACACTTGAAGCTTGCTGTGATACGCAATGTGGATGCAGATTGCGCGCACCGGCGGGAAGATGATTACCGTTCATGTCCTTCTGGGCCCCTTTGTAGCTAGAACAATTTTCCGGCCATTGCGGTTTTCAGCGGCACATGCGCACGTACGCCATCATCTTGTCGCCAACTTCGTGATCGTTCCTCCGACCTACTTCTTTTACTCTTGGTACTCTTGGGCGTTCATACTCGAGCGTGTGTGTGTGTGTCACTCACCATTCCGAGGGGACTCAGCAGGCTTGGAATTGACTCACTTCAGTGCACAGTCGCGGGGTGTAGCGCACGTCTCGTGGTTAAAGGATGTCCCCACATTGTGTACCTGCTCTAGGGGACAAAATAACTTAAGCAATATGGAATCTTTCTTTGGACCTTTTCACCGTGCCATTTGCACATGGCTGCTGGCAGGCTCGTGCAATAATTAGATCAAGTGGTTACGCACCTTATGAACCCTTTCCCAAGTGTGTCATAGGTGATGGTTTGTCCGTTCCTGCTGGGGCCCGTTGTAATTGGGCCGGTTGGCCGGCCTTCCCTTTCATCGCGCGCTGCGGCTGGGTGCTTCAGTGACACACTCACTAGACGACTTGTTTTTGATTAGGGCGCGCCGCTTCATCCGGACAATTCCGCAACGCAAAATGGCGCATAGCGCTTGCAGTGGTCAAGCTCGAGATTCAACTGATCTCTGCCTGGCCCTTGACAATACCAGGCTAGGTTGCCCAAGTTTTCTCTAATGAGGTTTACGGCTTGGGTCTTGTCTTGTTAGTCCCTCGTCGCCTTCATCTGCAACCACACACTTTCTTTTCCATTCTTTTACTTGACGCCACTTCCGTATTCACGTCCTTTCATCACGTTGCCTTTTTTCCTTTGCGTGCATCTGCCCGGACCTTACTGTGCACGTGCACTCACACTGTGAAACTAGGCTTGGGTGCCCCAGGCCTCGGCAACATGAGGCCTTGCTCGTCGTCGGTTTTCCCTAGTCACTTGGTTTCCTCTCCGTCGCCTCCACACACTTTGCGCGCCTTCTCCTCCCTTCATGTCTTTCCATGCCTTTTTTTTGCACGCACATGTGCTTTCATTGCCACCGCTTGGCAGGCGTGTGTGTGTGTGTGTGTGGGCGCTTGTCACCCTTGGAGTCAGAGGGGGCCTTTTGGCTTTTATGCAATGCGTTCTTTTTCAGCACACTACGCAAGCGCATGTCAACGAAGCTGTGCGTAACGGAGGAAGCTGGACTTGATGACTCCGGTGTACCTGCTGAGATAACGACTCTTAACTCCTACTGGGACCTGTTGTAGTCGCTTTCGTGGTGCATTCTGCAAGCAAGTCCTCGTTGATCCCTCAGATTCGTTGGAACGTGCGCAACCTTTTGAACTTGGCTTTGGAATCTTTTATGGCTAGACGCCGCTCCACTTCATCGCTGTCGACTTAGGCCTCTTGAAACACTTAGGCAGCTTCAGGGCAAGCGGCATTCCGACCATATGTACTTTATCCCGAGTGTGTGTGTGGGTGTGTCTCTTCCTGAACAACATCCAGCCAACATGTATGCATTGCACATCCAAGGCCAAGCACTGGCTACAGAGCTATCTCTAAACTTTGAGATGATGCCATCGAAGGTGGAGGCCTCCAAAAGCAAATGGCAACATAGATAACAGTCAAGGTGTTGGCTGTTGTGACTCCTTTTTTGATTCGGTTGGCACCTGGATCTGCATAATGTCGTGCTCCATGGCCTCTTAATCGCAACACAACACAACACAACTGCCTCTTCTTGAATGCGAAGTGCCTCAATCACAAGCTTCGCTGCCGTAAGGCTTGGTGTGGCAAGAGCTGAGAGCAACAACCACCGCATTGCCTTATTTGTGCAAGCAATGACAATCGGCGATCGGACAGGTCTGTTGGACTTATCAAAACGAATGCCAGGCTCCAGGCTCAAATCCAAAACGCCAGGAAACCAGGGGCTGAAAAATGCAAGCCTGGCGCCTGTGAACCAGGCTTGGAGCCGAAAAGAAAGTAAAGACTGAGATCTGACCGTATAAACCCTTTTGCTGTCTTGTGCAGGTCTCCTTCTGTGGCATGTCTTCCACCAACTGGTAAATACCCTTCCCCGAAGTGGGATGACTACAAGCTTGAGTGGGAAGCATACAGTCCGATGTTCTCACTGTGACTATGTCCGCACCTTCTCCTTTCTACGTCCTTTAAACTACACTGCAAGACCTATTTTTCCCCTGGTGCGAAGCTGTACGCAGCCCCACAATACAATGGTGGCTCTGCCCAAGTGCTCAGGAAGTTTCGCTCAGTTCGAAAACCTTTGTAGTTGTGTATACTTGTCTGGTGTTGTGTGTGTGTGTGGATCGTAAAGTGCGTCGCATGCGCCATGCACAAATCATGATTGCTCGACATCGATATTGCTCACTAGTTACGCGAGAAATCAAAACTCAACGGCAGCAGTTCCGACATGCCCAGCGCCATCTCCAAACCCGAGGTGTCTATGGCGCATCCAGTTAGCTACTCTTCAACATGCTACCAGTGGAGGCTGAATTCTACATCATGCCACGCTGGTACCTATGACTCTACACGACTTGCTGGCCACCTGTGCTCACCAAGAATCTAGCGCCGATTTTGCGTGGGTGCAACAGCTTGTCAGACTCTTCGCTTGACGAGGAGTCCAAAAATGCATCGCTATGACTGAATGTCACACTGTCAAGGTACATGAGGTCTGACACCCGGTGTCATACGGTTGTCAGACTCGGCAGGAGCACTGTGATTTCTCAGGATGAGTTTCTTGTCTGTGATGACACGTTGCATCTTGTAGGACACAATCAGTGGCTGGTTAGGTTGATACCACGATCTTCAGAAACACTGGAAAAAATGCGGTCCATGCTTCAACTTCAGAGTTGAAGGCAGGAGCTCAAGGCAGAAAGTTAATCTTCTGGCGTTGCCCGGCAGCAGCCAAAAATGGATGCAATCCTTGGATGTCTTAAAGACTGGCCAAAAGAAGCCGTCACAACTAAACCTGGAAAAACTGTGGAAACCTCCGAAACCGAGTGTCATTCCAGGACGTTTCGCCTTCGGACTCTGTCCAGGACGCGCTCCGTCGAAGGTCTGCGAGTCCCGAATATCGCGGGACGTATATTTGCTGGCGGTTCCTTGGCTGTTTGACGGGCGCGGCGTTGGCTGGCAGGGCGCGTGTTTGTTTTCGAACAAAAATCGGATGCCAAGTCTTTCTTTTCGGTGTTTTGAACGTTTTGCATTGTTTTGCTGTTTGTGCCAAGGATCTTATGCTTGTGCGTCCTTCAGTCTGGAATGCAACCGAATCCGAAAGCCCGCGGCCTGCACAAGTTCTGCTCTGAAAGCGAAGAAATAGCAAAACAATGAATAGCTCTAAGAGTTGTGTAAGAGCGTAGGGACATACACTTTGTGTGCACACCTCAAGATTGGGCAGAAAAGGACTCAAACCCAGCACCCCAGCTCAGTGTTTCACGGTGTTTCTGCCAACCTCGTCTGGACCGTCTCTGTCTTATGCCACCTGCAGAGCTTGTGCTAACATGTGCCTTTCAGTGCTTCGATTCCAAATGCACTTCTAGCCACCTGGCTAATGTATATAGACGCTTGAGTACTAACCCCCCATTTGAACTGAAAAACCTCTTCATATGGGGGGGTGAAATATCATCAAGAGTCTACATGACTTCAGTCAAACCGTTCATGAAAAAAATCTCAGCGGCTGCTCCGTTGCTGCGGACCTTCGGAGGCACTGAAGCTTACACCAACCTCCCGTTGTGACCACTCAAACCTCAGTCACCACAAGCAAATGGAGCGCTGCATCAGACCTCGGAGCCCTTTCTGGTACAATCTGCTCAAATCTGCTCGATGTTTGGAGCTTGAAGGCAGGAGATGACCATCCAGCAAAGAAACATGCCGTCGTGTTGTAGCCCTTCATCTTTCATGAAGTCCTCCAGGTGTTGCCGACTTCACTCGTTTTCGATGTGCAGAAATAGGGGCACACAAAAGAGGCGCAGTCATCAAGTTGCTGTGCATCTGGAAAGACTGCACATGCGTGAGCTGGCTTCAATCGGCAGCCCTTCCGTTTCATTTGTTTTCTGTTGAACCAACGAAGCAAAGGTGTGAAAGGTGTGAGCAACATCAACATGTTAAGCTGAACATGTCAACAGTCCACAAAACCATATCACCACTCCTGCAGCAATTCGACTTCTGCCTATACCAGGAGGTGCATATCTGACTGAGGCCTTTTTGATCCTTTTTTATCCTTTTTTCTCGTACTTTGTCAGAAGCTGTGATTGCTCCCAGCAACGCACCCAGCAACACTGACCGCCAAGGGCCTGAGGCAATTTCCCGAACCAAGGCCTTTACAACAGAGTCAACTGCCTACCCACCTGAATGCACGGCTGGGAACCGGCGGGGTTCACTGAGGATCTGGGAGATATGTATATCGTGGAAACGAGTCAAAGCAGTTTGACTCGCCTGCTGCTCATGAAAGAGCGGTCGAGAAAACGACTGAAATTTTTGTCATCTGGCGCCACTAGAAATTGTACAACCGGGTCGGTTTGACAAAGGATTGCTAAGTGAAGCAGCTGGATACAAGCAATGATGCTGCAAAAACCCAGCATGCAGGCAGCCAGCTGCAGCGTCTGAGTCCAGATTTGCTGACGAGATTGAACAGGATTCATGCATTCAGTGAAAGTTGAGTTCACCAGCCCAAACAAAAGTCTACAGGTCTTTCCACTTGATACAGCAATGAACCGACTGTAAAAAATTGGCTCTGTTCTACTGACGACATAGAAGTCACAAACCAGCACCAACTTATCACCAGTAGCAATGTTCGTCGCAGTTTAGCTGTGAAAAATGTCAATGACTCTTGGCAACAAGAGAGCCAACCCCTTGGAGCAGGCTCTCACGCACACACATCAATCTGTTTCTGTGTCAATCGGAGCGATCGGAGGTCTCCTTGAACAGGCGCTTGAAGAAAGTGTAGTCTGGGCGTTCCGGAAAGTCTAGGGAGCGACAGTAGGACACCTTAGCTGCAACAAGAACTTAGGCTGTTCAGGACAAAAGCTCAAGCAATGAGTGCAACTGGGGCACGTAGGTAGCAAGAGGTTTAGGGCAACCTTCACACAAAGTTACCAAAGGTGTCGCTTGCTTGACCTCCATGATTTTCCTGGACTGACAGCACGATGAAGGATCGAATGCAATCTTTGCAAGAATGCAAAAGCATTGATGATTCAGTTGCAATATCTTTTTTCTGCCATGCTTCCGGTACTTCTTTTCTTTTGTTTCTGCCTGAGTATGTGACAGCAACATAGCCGGACATGGCCCATGAAAAGTTATGTTATGAAGAGTTTTCACAATTTAAGCCCCCAGCTTGCAGACCCTGCCAGGGCAGCACGCCGCGGCAAAAGTATAGCAAAATGTAGCCAAGTGCCTTCGCAAATGCCAGTGCACGTAGCTTGTCAAAGTGCAGGGTCTACACTCTACACATTTGCATGTGTATATTTTTGCGGAGACACCTTCCATATTCTATTTTAATACACACCCATCTGGGTTCAAGTGTTTCTGCTGCATTTAACACAGGAAGCAGCGGAAGACAACGATCTACCCGCACCGCAACGACGGCAGCGGAAGAAGAGCGACCGACTCGCCGGCCCAAACTGGCCCGGGCGTCCGGTACGTGGCCGCATGGCCACATGACATCCGCTACTAGTGTCCTTGTTACTGGACCCAAAATAAAGGAGTATGCAAATCAATTGGAGGACTGGTCGGCCCAGATATCCGGACGATTTGTTTTTGTCCAGGATAGGCCTAAACATAAACAAACCTATCCGGACTGTAGAAAGAAAGTAGGCTGACACACCTGGTGACCGAAAGAAAATCGCTCTACACGGTGTGCACTTTGCGGCACTGTGTGCACCTCCATGTCGTCTCGGCGGCTTTGCTCCAATCCCTTATGCGCATTGATTGATGCCTCACATGGTAGCTTGCATAGTTGTTATCAAGACGTCGACTTCGGCAGCGAACTACGGTGGTTTCAGAGTAGATGGCACAGACCTCAAGAAGTCCTGGAAGCATGGGGGTCGATACAAACCACCGAACTTGGGGATTGTGCCATCTACTTTGAAATCAATCTACCTTACTAGGACTCATGTGCTTCGATCACTGAAGCTGAGCCGAAGGCATATCTTGCTGTTCCTGTCAGGCTTTTCCGTTGACCTCAAGCTGAGAGTGGAGCCATAGCCAAGAAAAACACTATGCTGGCAAGAGACCCCAAGCAGTGTGAGGGGGAACAGGGGTGAAGTTGGTGGTAGTGGTGGTGGTGCTGCTGCTGATGGTGCTGGTGGAGGTGTCGGGGCAAGGGTGGTGGTAGAGGAAGAGGTGTTGGAGGTGGTGGCGGTCCCGTGCTTTACTAGGAAACTGGTTTGCATAAATGGTTTAGGGGAATTACAGTCGCACTTGCATCAAAGGTCGCTCGGCCACAAAGGTGGCACAATTGCCGCTGCCGCTTCTTCCTTCCTCTCTCTTTCTGTGCGAAAGCGTGTTGGTGGAGTGGCATGTAGTGGCGATCCCTTCATGCCACTGCTGATGTTGAAATACTGTAAAGTTCTCAGACGATCTGTCTGTGAAGAGTCAACTTTCCTCGAATCTGTCTGGTGATTTGTCGATCAATTTGCTTTCAGCGGGCACAGCACTTTTCGCATGTCTTGGACTTGGCTTATTCCTGTGATCACAACCGAGCAGCGTATGGGTTGCATTTGTTGGTGTTTTTGTTTTCGCTGCATTGAAAAGTCATGGCCAAGTGTTGGACCCGGCCGGTTACGCTGATTTTGTACCTTGAATCAACGGTTCGGTCAGTTTGTTGCCTGCGAGGTCCGGCTGCGAGGTCCAAAAAAGCACTGGAAATCCACATGCAGTAGCTCAAAACCCTCTCGACAACCAAAATATCTCTTCGACTTGTGCAGATTGACCTATTTTTTGGAGGTCCATCATTCATCGGGTCAATCACCATGCAGCTGTGCCACAAATCTGATGATGCTTGCCTTTTGAGTCGCAGTAGCGCTTTGCTAAACCAAAGTCAATTAAATATACCTCAGTGCAAAAATCAGCTGCAAAACTCACTGACCCTGGGCCTGTCAACCGAAAGAAACACAGACTCATGAGGTCTCTGATATGATCTCATGAGATATTTTCCAAACAACCTGCATGACATGTTCCGTTTCCTCATGCTCACGTAACTCGTGCACAGCTTCCTGACAAGAACCTACTCTCGGTCTGCCACCGTCTGCGAAATCACAACGGATCAATCAACATGCCAAGGTGCAGTGCTGGATGTGCTGCCCAAACCAACAGTGAAGTTGTCAGGCTTCAAATCCCGGTGAATAAAATCCTCCAATCACATGTAACATGACATCACCGGAGAAGTTCGATGCGAAAACTAAGAATAGTTGAATCACCCACATGTGTTGCTTCAATACATGGAATTATTCTGTTGTCAAATCCCAAAAAGGTAAGCCGCGGTAAGCCGTATACCTTCCATGTTCCACTGTTGAATACACACACACAGTGCTCCTTCGAGTGCAGGTACTCGAGTCTGCTGATCATTTGTTCAGCAAGCATGATGGTCGTTTTGACGGAAAATTTCCTGTGACAGCTGCTGAAAAGATCCTGGCATCTGAAAAGCTTGAGTGGATGAACTGGTGAGCTGGTTGAGTGGGAGACAAGCTGCCAAAACCTGCATATTCAACTTTACCAGAGTACGTTTGACACCTTTGGAATGAAGTCTGCTTGGGAGGGAGTGCCTGCCTTTCTTCATTTACAGTACATGTAAACCACCCAAATGTCAAGATTACCTAGCTGCTCACTTCAATGATCATGAGTTTCTGCTGTTTTAGTTCGTGTTATCACTACCTTTGGCCGGGAGATATCCCTTGTCAGCCACAGGCATGACAGTGAGTGAAGCAGTGAAGCGACACTGGTTGGGTATCAAAGTGTAACTTTGGCACTGGTGTCGCTTCAGGGCAGGGAAAAACACCTGTATTCTCGATTGCGTTTGTGACTCTTAAAGCACCATCTCCTCCAATGATGGCCCAAGAAGATCCATGACCATCACATTGAAGCCACCTCAGTGTCCGCAGTGGAAAGAATTGTGAAACTCCAGCCAAATGCGCCAGTGTGCTTTGCACCCCCAACTATTGCCACAGCTTGCAAAACGGAAACAATGTCAAGCCGCCTTCGCTCCCAGAGTAATAGAGGGTTGCAACTCCTTGACCTCCTTCCAAATGTTTCAGGAGCTTTGCTTCATACAAAAGCATGGGATGACGACCTTGGTGGAGTTCGGTGGACCTTCGCATCCGGATGTGTCGCATCGTTGATACCACTATGCCAGACTGCCAAACTCTCTCTCAGCCAAGAGGCCACTATGCTCTTCCAATTTCACAGCCACTTCTTGGCCATTCTGAGAGTTGATAGCATAGTAGATCTTTCCAAACGATCCACTTCCTCAACAGTGATACAAACCTCTCAAGTGGTTGCAGGAATTTGCATATTCAACAGGCATGGGCATGTCTCGGCTTGCGGCCTAGTTTGCGGCCCAGGCGAAACACGGTTCCAACAGTCAAGGGCTGAGCTGATTGGGAGTCCTCAATGGCACAAGATGCAAAATATATATATATCTTCCTTCAAAACAATATCATATCCGCCCGCTCACTTCAGAAGAAACAGAACTGCTAATATTTTCTGTATCCGGTGTATATATATATACATATATGTTTCAGCTGGCAGATTACAGTCAAGGATCATGGCTAGCATCCATCGCCAATTTGAACGATATCTGCCAAGCATTTTCTTCCCGGCGTTCGGTTTTGCCTTCACTGAATTGTTTTTGCACAATCATCTCGCAAAATCACAAAAAAGCATGCCTGTAACAAAACCACTAAGAACAAAACCCAAAAAAACTGCAAATTTGCCTCCATCCCCACTGCGAAAACAAATAATTGTGTTGCAAGGAGAGCGAACTTGTGCAATTTCTGCATGAAAGGACTCCAAGATGGGTTAGATATCAAATCTTGAAAATCCTGACAAGCCACGATCCGCGTGATGGGCGCGGCACCATGGCGTCAAGAATCCAGGACGCTTCAATGCATTGAATGCCCATGCAGAATGAATCTTTGCGTGGTGCACCTGCCATAATAGGCCTGAAACGCAAACCTACATGGATCCTTCTCGACGCAATGTTCTTTAAAAACGAAATCTATCCCTTGTATTCAAATTCATCATCAATTCTCTGGCCTGACATGTGAACAGTGATGCTTCGGACACCGTGCTCTTCCATTCTGCCACTTTCGAGCCACGCAACATGCCCAGCACAGGATTTTTTGTTTTTTGTCTGAACATTTTCTCTACGTTGGAACCTCTTCGGAATTCAATTTCCAGCCTGCGGGCCACCTTCTCAGATGACAATTTGTTTCTTTTGGGGGGGCACTCACCCTCTATTTTTCGACAAAAGACATGGTGTTGCCAATTGAAAATCCAGGGTGCCCTTGATCACCTCCAACAGGTTTTGTCCAAAAACATCTACAAATGTCCAACCGCCCGGCACATGTTGATTTCATGCATAAAATGGATTCCGTTTTGGAACTTGGGTTGACTGCACAACGTCGTAAGCTTTGCTTCGGCGTTTTCGAAGTGCGATGGCCAGCACAGCGTTCTGATCTCAGGGCGCTTTACAGCGCTAAAGGAAGAAGTTTGTACGAAGAGAGACAAAGCTTGCACTGTCCAGCAGTACTGAGAGGCCTTTTTGTTTAATTCGCAGCCCCATGTCTCACCCTTCCCACCCTTTCCTGGTCTACAGGACCCTCACGAGTTACACCCGTGTGCCAGGTTGCTTCGTGGTCTGGTTGTTTTTGGTTGTGTTGTATTTGGTTCGTGTTTTTCGTTTCCCGTTCTCGCATCCTGGCTGATAACTCACTCTTAGCTAGCACAAGATGACCTGTGCAATCTCTGCACACATGGCATCTCCACCCGTGCAAAAAAAAGGTGTGACTCTACAAAAAATTGCACAAGCTGACCTGTGCACTTCCTGCATAAATGGCGGCTCGACTCGTGCAAAAAAACATGTGTCGTTCGACGGTCATTTTTTGTCCTGTTAGGTGCAAGCGTTTGCTTTCAAGAATCCCGGCTTTGAGAAGTCATCTTTCTGACTCTTCTGAAGTCCTCTGAGGGATCCCTGCTTAAGTTCACATGATTTGTTGATTGATTGATGCAAGACCATCAATGAGGAAGGGGTGTGAAAGAAAGTGGGTCGTCCGTTTGCATTGGACGTGAGTAGAATTTCGTTTTGACTTGATGGAGCTGTCTTGGGTTCTTGAACCTTTGTGGTGTTTCTGCTTTGACCGGCTTGGCAGTGTGATTGTTTAGAATCAGTTGAGAAGACTGTGAACAGTCATGGCTCTTTGAAGAAGAGTTGAGCAGCTTTGGACAAGCGTTGAGACAGTCTGAACCGACTGTGACTTTGGCTCAAGGATCCGGGTCAAAAGGGAAGCTGCCGCGTCCATGTTTTCACAAATTGGCTCTTACGACGATTTTTTTCACACGCCACTTTTTCCTTTCAGCCCGCATTCGGATCACGCCGATGAATCGTTGACCGAAAATCTTTACCACGGTGCTGAGTCAACCTTTTTCTCTGCAGAAATGAACAGGCAAACGGGGGAAAACCACTGTGAATTGTTTCCGATTACTCCAAGCCTTCGGACAACAGGATTCAGCAGTGCAGCCTGTGACAGGCGGGACACTCTGTATGAGGGCCATTGCATTCTGCAGGTAGCCCGCCTCCCCGGGCGGGGAGGAGGGCAGTGGCCTCACTATACTTGTGACGGTGGCTCCCAAACAGCTTGGCCAAGGGAGAACACAGAAAGGCAAGTGGAGGCCAACTAGCTTCCAGTCGGTTTGTAGGTGGTTGATGGATGCAACGTGCAATGTGCAATGCCCCAAACTACGGTGAAACCAGGTGAAACCGTCGTTACCCTATGCAAAAGTGAAAAACAAGCGAAGCTCGCGCCGGCTATTTTCAAATCGGCTTGGGCCACTGTGAGCCACGAGGTCGAAGTTCGAACATGTTCAGTGACATGCCAAGGAATGAAACTCCTAACACTCCACCTAAAAAGTGTGGTGCTTAACCACATTCTTTTTCTTCTCTCATTCCTCAGATCTCGCCGGTCTCGATGTATCGGCGAGTGAACCCGTCGAAGTCGCTGTCCCACTTGTCAGTGATCACAGCCACGCTGAAGGCAGCAAAGTCTCGCTGTTCCTCCTGCGTCCATCCCAACAGGTGGTCGAACACCATGTGACTGTAGCGTCCGCCATAGATCGACGTCAGTCGAGTCCTCAGGAATTCCTTAAGCTGGTTGTTGGGGAAAATCCCAGCTTCTTTCAACCTTCGCGCTCGAGGTTGCTCATCCGGTTTCAGCCACCGGATCAGGGTCTCATAGTCCCACCAGTCTTCATCCACAGGCGGCATCTCTCCAGGCGGGTCAGCCCACACACCGCGGGCTCTTTCATCAGCTCGCTCTGCACTTCGTCTGAGCTGCTCATCAATCTCGGTCTCATCAATCTCCATAGGGCTTGCTTCATCTCTTTCGGATTGACTAGGGCGATATCTCCTTTGATATCCTCCCAGAGGATTGCTCATGAAGTACTCTTCACCACTTTCAGCATCATCTGAATGTTCAAGGATTCGGTACTCTTGTAGTCGTCCAAGTTCAGGATTCCAGTCTGTGAGCCAACTACCTGTCCACTCAATGGTCCAATTACTTGCATTTCTCCAGTTCGGTTGGTTCTCTGCTTCTGGTTCTGAGTCCGCTTCTCCATCTCCATCAGGATCATCAAACATCCTTGTTTCAGGGTTTGCTTCATCAGCTTCTTCTCCTTCATCTCTGGAAGCTTGGGGTAGTAGAGGCTCATAAACTCGAGGTTCAGGATCTGGATGCCATTCTCCAATTCCTGCAGCCATGCTTGCTCGCATGATCATCCCAACCTGATCACGTAGATCTTGTTCACGTTGAAACTCCATTGTCACTTCTTGTCGAAGAAATCTGCAACAGGTTCTGAAGCAAATGGAAATCTTCATCCTGTACCTGTAGCCTATGTATACACCAAAGGCAAACACTGCCATAGTGTAGACTGCCACAATCTGGAAAAGTGTCCATCCAGATGGTAATTCACGGGCTGCAGAAGCTTCTTCTCCTCGTACTTCTCGATGTAGGAGCATCAAAGTCACTGCTCTCACCAGGTTCGTTGGGATCTTGGTGTCATGACTGCTGTCATCAGTGAACACGGCCTGAACCATCTCGTTCTTTACTTCCTTCATCTTCTTGGCAAGCACTTTCCTTTCCACTTCCTTGTTGAAAGCATCTTCTCCAACTCGAGTGAAGAACTCTTCTCTTCCTTCTGCTTGCATCTCCATGAGTCCGATCAAGTACATGAGAAACTCACGCCGTTGTCGACTCAGGCGTTTGGTCCCCAAGTCCGCAACGTTCCACAAAGTTGGAACGCCTTCCATCTTCAAGGTTTCTTTCTTGACCTCAAGCTGCATCCAAAGGTACTTGATGTCGATGTGTTTCAACCTGCCAACTCCAAGTCTCTCTGTGAATGCTCGGCAGGAACTGCTGTCGGTAATGGCCTTGATCAGCACTTCTCTTCTGCTTATGAACTGTCAGAGATCTTTCACTTGAATTGCTTCTGCCACACCGCCAGCCGAGGCCAGGAATTCAGCCTCGCAACTGCTCAATGCAATGCTCTTCTGAGACCTACTCCAACTCGTCACCATGCAACCATTGAGAAACATGCAAACCGAGCTTACACTGTGTCGTCGTCGAGCTTGACTACTTTTGTCTCCAGCCCAGTCGCTGTCAGTGAAAGCTTCCAAAAAGTCTGGTCCTGAATCTTCCTCCACCTGACACAAAATCTCGGCTTTCTTGCTTCTGTACTTTTGGTATGGCAACAGAAGCCCATACTGTTCAGTTCTCCTCAAATAGAGGATAGCATGCTTGATCTCCATCTCAGCCTTTTTCGTGGGTCTTGCCATAAACTGGCTCAAATTGCGAATGCAATGTTGGATGTCGACCCGATCTTGACTCACATAGAGCAAAGTTCCCAAAGCTGAGCGAAAGCGAAATTGGTCAGCTCCTTCTAGAAGCTCGTCAGGACTTCCTTCAAGTTCAACCTGCATGCTCTCTGGAGTTGCTTTGCCTGCTTTCTTCTCCAAACCATAAAGTTCCACCAAAGCAGGAATGTACTTCTCATGAGGCATGATCACAATGCCATCCTTTGTGAAATAGTGACGCTTCTTTAGGCACCGCACTGCTTCCTCCTCTGATTGGTCAGCACGTGGAAGAATCCCTGACTCACTCAGGGTAAACTCATCCTTCATAGAGCTAAGCAGCCATTCCAAAGACTCCACCTCGCCAGCAATGATGAGATCATCAACATGGCAAACTGCTGCTATTGCCTTCGTCTCATGGCGAAACAGGGAAGGCAAGCTCAAATGGCTCTTGAAGCCCCACTTCATCAAATGGTCTGCAAGGAACTCATACCATCGTGCTGCGGCATCTCGTTGACCTGGCAAGCATCGCGCAAGTGTCCAGTAGCGCTTTCTTCCCATCTCCAAGTCACCTTTGGGGTTCCACCAATCTGGCTGCTCCACCAGCACAAGTTTCTGCTGTCGAACTAAGAGGAATGCATCTTTGATGTCGACAAACATGATCTTCCAACCAAGAAGCACATGTGTTGAAAGAAGAAGGCGAGTTCCACTCAGTGAACTTGTTGGTGCAAAGGTCTTGGATGTAGATCCATCTGAACCACGGAACTCTCGTGCCACAAAGCGACACCTGCGCTTCCATTTCTTTTCTCTCACGCGCCAATCAAAGACACTTCTTGTTGTCAAAATGTCGCCAGTCATCAACTCTTCGTCTGTCGGATCTCTGAGCACACCCATTTGCAGCAATCTGTAAATCTCTTCATGTCCAGCTGCTTCCTCAATTACCCTCAACTCTTCTTCACTCACCTCAGGAGGGCATCCTTCGTCCAAGGCATCAATGTCAAGTGGATCCCAATCTTGGGTCGCCTCATGGTCAATGAAGGATTCCATTTCCTCCTCCCATGGCTCGTCATTCACTGGATACTGTACTTGTCGAACGTCTCCAGCAAAGTATGGCTTGTACAAACTTGAGGGACTGTCTGCTGGATCTCTTCTTGCTGCTTTCTGTTGAGGTTCCTCTACCTTGCTGTCATCAACCATCTCTTCACTTTGTCGAGGGGTCAAAGGCAACTTGACCTCAGGTGTGCTAGGTCTTCTCTTTCCAACCTCTGTCTCTTCTTCATCAATTCCCATTGGCAGAGGTGGGACCCGAATGAACTTGTCCGCCGGCTCATCTTCATGCTGGTCATCACTCTTGTTCTTGTGCCTCTTTTCTTCCATAGGACTGTCTGTGCCTGCATGCTCACGCGCATAGCGTTCCACATCGTCTGCATCTTGGTCTCTTTGAAAAGGATCAGCGTCTCCTGGTGCTGGTGTCTTCAATCCTCCACCTGTGTTGCCACTGCCTTTCGGTCTTCCAGGTCCTCGTACACCACGAGGAATCATAGGGGTCGCAGGCATCAGCTTCAATGGACGTCGAATGTGAGGATTTCGATATGGTTTCTCTTTCACCAGGAAAACATAGACCGATCTCCAAGGTTCTGAAGTTCTTCGGATGGCTTTGCCTCTTAGCAGGCCATTATGCCCCACAACCAGATGAAGGTCATCTTCATGTGTCTTTCCAACCCACACTCCAGGCAACCATTGTGGACCTTGCTTTGCACCCGGCTGTCGATTTAGGATCATGACATACTCTCCAAAGCAGACGACTTTCCCACAGTATCGTCTTCCAAAAGCAACTTCATAGGGTGAAGCTTGAATTGCTCTGTGGGATGCGAATCTGTTCAAGATCCATGCTGCATGCAAGTAGGCCCACTGCCAAAGAGGATGGTCACCTGCCAGGTTGATTTTGCACTGGTCCTGCAACATCTCCATCAAGGTCGATGCTTGTCGCCTCAAAGTTTGGATGCCTCTCTCAACTCGACTTGTCTGGCCTTTCTTCATACTGAAGGTGATGGTTGTCTCGAGACCTAGTCCTTGGCGCAAAGTCTTCACATAACCCAGCAAAGCCTTCATTGTTGGTTCACTATCACCAATCATCTCCACATTGCCATACTGGTTCAAGGACAGGCTAAAGCGCACCACATGTTCTGCTTGATTTCGAAGGTCATCACCTTTTCCTTCGACTGGAACCGCAAGCATCATCCTTGTCTCTGCATCTATTCCGACCAAAATGGTCACAAGACTTTCTGGGGGATTCTTCTCATCTTGCCTTGAGCGTCCAAAAGCATAGTCCAACTGGACTGCTGGAATTGACCTTCTTCCTTCATCTTCTCCTCGATCAAGAGGTCGTTGAGCATCATCTCGGCTCTTGCAAGCCACACAGAAGTCGCACCATGCCCTGAAGGGAACATGGGTCAGGTTGTGAAGTTGTCTCTCTTCTTCAGAGGGTTGGCGTGGGACCTGCAAAGACCTAAGTCCTCGATGATGGCTTTCCTCCTTGTACAACTTGTTGGCAATCAAAAAGAGCTCTTGGTTCTCAAGTTTCTGGACTTGTTGATTCAATCTCGTCCAGAGGGAGTGCTTTGAGCCACCACGTCCAATGCCTAAGAATTCTGCAGCTTCACGCAACACTGACAAGGAACTCGTCTCATGTAACTCAGCGCCATTCACTACCAAGACCTCTCGATTCTCAAAGAAGGGTAAAGGTCCTTCCCAGAGCTCACCATGATCTTGTTGATCAACTTCTTCTGGAGTCTTCTCATGTTGAGGATTGAGCTCAAGTGGCACTGAAGGTTCTGCTGCAAACTGAAAGTTGTCCTCCTCAATCTGTGCTCCACCTGCGGTCACAGTTTGTTCTCCAACCAAGCTGCCAAAGAAGCTAATGGGCTCTTTCTTTCGGTGAAGCACAGTGAGGGTTTGTGTTGTCTCTCCTCCACACTCTGGGATTTCACCATCTGGTTCATCTTGGACATAATAGCGGTTGCAATGCTCAACCACTTCCCAAGTGTCATCATCTTTCCGGATGAGAGTGGAGCGAAGAGGCCACCAGTTCAAGTTCCACATCAGCTGTCCATCAACAAAGTTCTTCGTCTCATAAGTGAACCTGACTGGATTTCCCTCTGGAGTTGTCTTCCAAGCTCGAAGGCCATAGTTCTCCCAGAAACTGTCATGCAACTTCACCACCACACGCACCACCAGAGTCTCGTTGTCATCAAAGACTTGTCCACCAGTTTCTCCTTGCACCTCATTCGGTTCATGAGTCACCCGGCTAATGCTGCCGTAAAGAGCTAGGGAATTTCTCTTGAAGTGCAACGGAATGGAACATAGTCCATCAGGAGCTTGTAGGTGCACACCAGCCTCACCACTGCCAGGGATCAGACGCCAACCACGTTGTAGTAGCCTCCCCAAGCTAATCAAGGGAGACTGTACAGAAGCCACTACAAAATCGTCTTCGATGATCACCATTGCTTCCTCTCCATCACATTCAATCTGTGCTAACTTCTTTCCAAACGTGGTCAACTTGCCTCCTTGAGCATCTTCAAGGACTGCCTTGCCCATTTTGCTTGCTCGTCCATAGTGCGCCATCGATTGTGGAAGAAGGCTGATGTCAGCTCCAGAATCCAAGACAATCAACGTCTTCTGTTGGCTC